AGCGCTCAGGGCTCAGCTCCTCCTTGTCTTCATTCCAAAGCACCTTGAGTCCTGTTTCCAAAATACGGCCGCTTTTATTTATGACTTTTATTGGTAAGGCCATACCTTAGCCACATGGAATTAGTCGATGCTCACCAGCGACTCCGAGTCCGGATTCAGGGTCAGCCAGGGTCAGCCGGGGTCAGCCACTCTGACTTGTTCCCTAAATTCCAGTTCTTTGGGGAAGAAGGAGGCTTGCTCTGTGACTTTCTCTGTTGCTGGAAGGTAACCTCAGATTTTGATTCTGCAACCGGTGAAAATCTTCTGCTTTTTCAACACAAGCAACTGTTTATGTTTGGAATACAGACTTGGTTTAACATTTGAAAACCGGTGTGATTCACTTCGTTAGTACCACGCATGATGCAGAGAAAGTGTTCGGTTGAATTCAGTACTCGTTTGTCGTAAAAAGTCTCAGCAGACCAGGACTGGAAGGGAATTTCCTTGATCCAACAAAGAGTATCTACAACAGAAATCAGACCTGATGGTAAAACAGTGGAAGTTTTTCCACTCTGGTGGGAGTGAGTCAGGGGTGCCTTCTTTCACCACTTGCCTTACACTGGAAGAAAAGAATAAAGCTGTCATTATTATTATTATTATTATTATTTTTATTTTTTTATTTTTAGCTGCTCTGGATCTTCGTTGCTGCGCACGGGCTTTATCTAGTTGTGTCGAGCGGGGGCTACTGTTCGTTGCGGTGCGCAGGCTTCTCATTGCGGTGGCTTCTCTTGTTGTGGAGCACTGGCTCTAGGCACGTGGGCTTCAGTAGTTGCGGCACGTGGGCTTCAGTAGTTGCGGCACGCAGGCTCAGTAGTTGTGGCTCACGGGCTCTAGAGCGCAGGCTCAGTAGTTGTGCCACACAGGCTTAGTTGCTCTGCGCCATGTGGGATCCTCCCGGACCAGGGCTTGAACCCATGTCCCCTGCACTGACAGGCGGATTCTTAGCCACTGTGCCACCAGGGAAGCCCAAGCTGTCATTATTGACAGGTGGCGTGATTGTGTATATGGAAAATCCAGATCTACAGGGCAACCATTAGAATTACTAAGCAAATTTAACAGGGGCTGGTGCAGAGTCAACATACACAATCCAGGTATGTTCTACAGAAACAATAACAAGTAAAAATAACCCCCGCATTTTTTGTGTTTACACTAACATCAAAGAAAAAATATGAAATACTTAGGAAAAATCAACAGCTGGGCCAAGTCTCCACACTGGCAACCATAAAGCATTGCTGACAGGATGTGCCCCTGGGCTGGAAATAGGCTCACTGTTTAAAGATGCCCGTTGTCCGCAGCGTGGTTCATAGGCTCAGCATCCCCAGTCAGCCCCGCATGCAGTGGCGTGTGACAGCACGGAGCGGTGAATGGCCTGGGGAGACCCCAGCAGCGTCAGCCCGGGGAAGCCGGAGCCCGTGTGTGCACTTCACTTCCGGAGCCGGTTCCGTTAGCTCACTGGCGAGCAAGCCCGTTCCTGCTTTGAGGAGTCGGTTAGCGCTACCTCTGGGGACAGTGGGTGCGACAGGGAGGGGCAGAGGGGCTTCTGTGGTCCTGGTGACATTTGCTTTGTGGCCCAGGTGTTGGTTGCCTGGTTTGTTTGAGAATTCAGGCGGCGCACATAGGAGCTGTGCCACACGGAGTGGTATACTCTTCATTTAAAATTTACTTTAAAACGGACAGACAGGTGTGAAGAGATGACCAGAAACGGGCTCCATTACGGGAAAATGTGCTTCATGAGAGAACTGCCCCCAGTACTCAGAAAATATGCAGCCTCTGCGTCAGTTCACCTGACCTTGAGCAGCCATGGTGGGTGCACTGACCTGGGGTTGAGACCTGCCCCGACCCGTGCGGCCTGCAGCGCAGCCTCGGGGCTGGGTGCTGTGCAAAGAGGGGACCGCGGGAGGTGGAGAAGGTCCGGCGGTGGGCAGGCGGGACGGTGCCGACTGACACTGCCACTCGGGCCCCCGAGCACTTGAAGTGGGGTGTGCATCTGAGAAATGGAACATTTGATCTTACTGCACTTAAATTCACACCTCACCCAGGGCCCCAGCTGCTGGTGTGGACAGTGCGGCTCTAGACAGACAGTACTCCGTGTGTGTGGGTGCACAGGGCGAGGGCTCGACGACTGAAATCAGGGAGACGGTGGAAGGTGCTGACGACGACGAGGGGCAGATAGCCTGGTGAGGGCATGGGCAGAGAGACCTGAGGGTCACAACCACGCTTCTCTCAATAAGGGAGGTGAGACCTGACTTAGAAAGGGCGTGAACATCTGTCCCTTTTCCTGGTTTACTTCAATTTTGTAAACTATGTGAGATACATAATGACATTTAAAATCGCTGCTGTTTACTTTGAGCAACACAGATGCACCCGATGCCGACAGACTGAGTTGAACTTGCCTTGTTAACAAAACCCCGTGGACGGTTGCTGGCTGTCAGTTCACTGTGTGTGGTCAGCACAGGCCACGAATTCCAGAAACACGAGCGATTGAAGGTGAAGGGTGTCTCTGCAGGTTCTCACCAAACGGAGCCCCTGCTGTGTCCAAGAACAGGAAGGAGGTTTGACAACAGAATAAATATTTTGTATGGGTGTGACCTTAATTTGTAAGAAGTAATAGACCATCAACCCTATGCAGTAGTAAGCCGTTTTATTCTTAAATGATAGACATTCGTGCAAAACATACCTAATAATGTTCACAGAACTCGGTGTGATTTTTAAAAATGCGGTGACTCATCAGTGTCTAAAATGACCCTGTCTTAGCTTCTCTTCCTTTGCCTTTGCTTTTAAAGAAAGTTTCCCAGTAGGCCCGAGGCTGCGATCCTGTCACCTTCCTGGCAGGTCAGAGCTTTGGCCTTTGCAGCTCCAAGGGTGTCTCTGTGTGCGGAGCAGGTCGCACCCCGAGGGCGCAATGCCTCTGGTTCTCTGCCCGAGTGGCGGCCACCTCCTCACCTTCTCTGTGCGTCTCGTCTCCACAGCTCGACCACGTCGACCCCAGGGCCGTGCAGCTGGGTACCCTCCTGGTCCGCGGCCTCACCACCCTGGTGCTGGTCAACAGTGCCTGCGGCTTCCCCTGGAAGACGTCGGACTTCATGCCCTGGAATTTGTTCGACGGGAAACTGTTTCATCAGAAGTACCTGCTGTCTGAGAAAGGGCACACGGCAGAGGCGCTTGTGGAACAACACGTGAGCTCACGGTTTTCTTTACGCTTAGAAAAAGTAGGCTTGAAATCAGTTGCTCAAGTGCATCACAAAAACTCAGAGTCCTCGGCTGGAGGTCAAAAGGGTCCGCAGCACTGTCTGTCCTCACGGTCATTTTACTTTAGGAACAGACCCCAGAAGTCCGCTCTGAGGAGCCGCAGATCCCAGGCTTTGAAATTGACCCAGAAGTCCGTGAGGCTGCTGGTGCCGGTGGCCTCCTCCGCTGTGGTTGTGCCTCAGGCCTCGGGGTCAGCGTTGCTGAAGCTTCTGCCCCAACCTGTGAGGAGCGAGTGCTTTCGCTGCTTTTCCCCTTTTTGAGTTAAGAATGCATGTTCCCTGCAGAGCTGCCTCTGCAGACATCAGACTAATTCGATAGGAGCGGTGATGATTTGTTACTTGAAAATATTCCCTGAAGGCTGACAGTTTAGTTGGGGTCATTGGCTGCTGTTCTGGCTTTGTAAGTACAACTGCTACACGGTTCCTGGAAGATTTCCAAGTCGGGCCCCGGCCAAGCTCATTTGGAACGTGTGTTAATACCCACAGGACCCTGTGATCAACGAGAGCTGACTGTCTGTGACAGGTCAGCGCTCCACGCCTTCACATCAGGTGGAAAACGTTACTGATGTGCCGGCAGTGCCGCTTCACACACAGACACAGTCCAGGTCGTCATAGGAATGTAAGTGTTCAGAATTTAGAAGCAGCCACGGTTATGTACAGTCAGCAAAAGCAGAGTACTGACAAAAATGTCCTGTAAGTGTGGCCTTAGTACCGAATCAGTGAAAGGTAACAGTAGGCCAGGCTCATGGCCTGCACATCACTGCCATCACGGACCCCTCCCTCCTTTCCTTCCTAATGTCTTGACCAAGTACAAAATGATTACAGGTTCACACTCACTGCTTTAAAACAAGTTAGGGCAGATAGGATCGAATATTCAATAGTACAGATGAGGCTGGAAGAGAAGGTCGCACGTCAGTTCGTTGTCTGTGGCCTTGCTCTTTCCACTTACTGTCTTACAACCAAGAGGAACTGAGGTGGTAACACATTACCGGCATGGATGTTTTAGGTATGATTGTGTGTTAGGGCCATAGATGTCACAGTAGAACGTGAAGGCCCTTTTGGAAATGCTTGTATAGCCTACAGGGGACAGAGAAGGCGTAGCTGCCACTGTCGCCTTTCCAGGGCACGCAGGAGAAGATCAGTTTCTAAGAACATCTTTCTGAGTTGCAGTGTGGAAGGGAAACTGCAGCCATGCTCGCCCACACCACTGCAGTGTCCTTGGGCACAGTATACTGTGTAGTTTCACTCACATAGCTGCGTCTCCCGAGTGCCTGCCTGTGTCTGACACTGCTCCGCCCCATCTGGTCTGTTTGCAGAGGTCCTGGCTCACCAGATTCCATGCCCTGAAGTCAGTCGTGTGCAAGGCCTGCATGAAGGAGAACAGACCCATCGTCAGCAGGCGGCACTGGCGTTCACACCACTCAGGTGGGTCCCAGCCTCTCGGTCCCGGGAGGGGCCCCACTGCCGCGTGCAGCTGCAAGGAGAGGCTGATAAAATTGGAAGAAGAAACAAAATTAAGATGATAGTGTGCTGCTGAGCAGTTTTAAGTCCTGGTCCCCTTAGGAGGGAGTTTTCAAAGGGTTCATGTGCTGAGAGTTAAGGACCCTCCTCTGGGGCTCAGCCTCCTTTCCAGGAGGCCCTGAAGTACACACGCCGCTGGGCTGCTGGGCCTTTATTTGACAGAGGTTTGGACTTATTTTTTCTCATGATAAAAGTACATGAGAAAACATTTAGAATATAAAGAAAATAATGAAAAATGAAACCCAAATAACCTTTAATTCTGTCTCCTGAAGGTAACAGATGTTGAGAGATGTTTTCCTGTGTTTCCGTCTCATGATTATACTCTGCATGCTTTTGTGCCCTGTTCTCCTCGGCACTTGACTTCCAGCGCGATCGTGGTCACGGTGGTCAGGCTCCCCTTAAACAAAATCCCCACCACCACATGCACTGCCTTTGCGTCGTAGCCCCCCGCCTCGAGCTTCCGTTTTTTCTCGTTATACTTGATGCTTCTCTGTGTGTTGTTTCCTTAGGATAGAGTTCCGTTGTTCACAGAATTATAGATCCAAACATAATTGGATTTTAGATAAATGTTGCCAACTTGTTTTCTAAAAACACACGGTCACTTCACACCTTCACCAGAGGGATTAAGAGTTCCTATTTCATGCTTTCTTGACACCACTTAAAAGTTTGTTTTTCTGACTAATTTGATAGATGAAAAAGCCTGTCTCCTTGATTGGGTGCTTCTTTGTTTATCAGTGGAGTCGGACATCTTGTTCAGTAGCTTATTGTGTTGAGTTCATTTTAATCACGTTCTCATGTCCTCGTTTGGGGAGGATCTATACCTGTAACTGTAGCAGCGCCGTTTTTTCTTGATGGAATAGAGAATTACCCCAGATTCCTACTCCCCCAGACCGTCTTGACTTCTGCTCACGCCAGCCCTGCACGTTTCGCTCCGAGAGACTTTGTGCCATGAGGTCGGTGAGGCCTCAGGTCACGTCCAGCTACTGCCGGTCAGTGCTGTGTAAAGGGGCTTCCGGCCCCTCCCTACTCCTAATGGTGACAGAGTCCCTCCTGGCCTCACCCCCTCTCCATCCTTTACCTTTCTCCAGCTGCCTGGGGATAGGCGGCGTTTGAGACCCCAGAGCAAAAGTTCATTCCCTGCAGAAGAAAGAGGCAGCGTTCTCTCTGTGTCCCCTGTTCCCCACATCTGTTGGCAGCATGTCACTCAGGCCGTCTGCCCTGTGAGCATCGCACCAGGATTCCCGTCACTAGTGAGATTGTTAACAGAGCAGTGACAGGCTGGCTGCAGACATGCAGGTGGCAGGATGCAGGCTTTGTCAGCTACAGTAGTCACTGGGATTTGGATGCCTGAACCTCTTTCTGCATTTCAGTCTGACACTCAGGCTTAAGAGGACTGTACATGTGACAAGTTTTCTTGAAAGCCCTAAGACAGCCTGTGGTTTCACAGAGTTTAATGCTGCAGTACGGTCACTCCTAATACAGACAGGAAACTCTGTGATCTCTTTCTGGTGAAGTGTCCGTAAGATGGCAGACCTGGGTGATCCTGTCGAGTTACTCCAGATTATGGAAGAAACGGTTTCAACAGATAATCATGAGTCAATTTACGTGATTTGGAAACTGCTCCTTTTTTCTGTCCTCGATGTCGTCATTTTCTTCACAAATACAGCCTGATATTCTGTGGTTCACTGCCCTGGGCCCCGGTGGCTCGCCAACACCACACAGGTTCTCAGTGGCAGAGCCCAGCCCCTTGGCCCCAGCCCAGCGTCCTTCGGTCACCTGCACGCAGCCGCTGTCTCCTCCTCCCGGGACGAGCTGGTGCCGTTGACAGTTGCCGGTGCCTTTCAGGCCGCTGCCTGCCCTCGGCTGGCAACAGTGTGCGTGGAGGGCAGGGGCCCGGAGCTGAGCCAGCGCAGAGCCGCCTGCCCGTGTCCTCAGAGCGCTGGCTTGCCCCTGTGGCTGCTGCTGGGCAGGCTTGGCCTCCTTTCTTTATGGAATAGTGTGAGGTACCAAGGTAGTGTTTAGAATCACATTTAAATATGTACTTAGACTTGCTAGTACTGAATTCTAGTAGAGACAAGCAGAAGAAGGCGTCAGGGTTTAGGAATTTAGAAGAAGAATTTAGAGTGAGCCGACTGCGTGCCAATGAAGTTTGTGGGGAATTGGGGGGAGAGGGCGGCCGGGTCAGTCCCACCATGTCCCGGAGCCCCGCGTGCTGGTGGCCAGCAGTGCGGGCCTGGGCCTGTGGCCGCTGCCCAGGGCAGCTGCCTGAGGAGGCAGAGAGGAGAACTTACTGCCCTGCTGTGAGGGACCTGACAAGATAGCCTGCTCGTCCCCCACACACACTCTCCTGGGAACAGGTTTAAGTGCAGCCCTGACCCAGCCCCAGCATCTGCATTTTTCAGGGGCTTTCCCTGTGATGGTAAGGACGTCAGAAGTTTGGCAGCTGCCAGCCCAGGGTCATGTTGCTCTACTCTTAAACACGACTGCCATTTGGAGTTCAGCGTCTGGTAGCTGCTGACGTGCTGATCACGTGTCCCCACAGGGCGGAGGGGCCGACAGGGATCCAGCGCCCACAGGATGAGCTCTGGGTACAGCCGGTCTGGCCAAGGACAGCACTGGAGGGACCAGGGGCCAGGTAAGAGGCAGGCGGGGTGGCGGCAGTGTTCCGGAGGAGACTGCCTCGCAGCTGTTTTGGAAATAGGTTGTATGTTTACAAGTAAATAAACAGATAAATGTACTGATAGATCTAAAGTGGAGTAGAGACATAATTGCCGTGCTCGGTGCTAGCCTGCCCCTGCTCTGCTTTATTCATTTTCTGTCAGTTTACTCATCTGTTCAAGACCCAGTTTTTCTTAATTTTTTCTTTTTTTTTTTTTTTTTTTGCAGTGCATGGGCCTCTCACTGTTGTGGCCTCTCCCGTTGCGGAGCATAGGCTCCGGACGC